CCGCCGCCTCGGGCCCGTGGAGGCCGTCGGAGCCCCGGCTGCGGGGCAGCCGCCCGCGCCCGGCGAAGCCTCCAGCTGCGGCCACGGGGCCGCCGGCCCGAGAGCTGATCCAGCCGTCGGTGAGCGAGCTGTCCCGGGCCGTGCGCACCAACATCCTGTGCACCGTGCGCGGCTGCGGCAAGATCCTGCCTAATAGCCCCGCGCTCAACATGCACCTGGTCAAGAGCCACCGGCTGCAGGTGAGCGGGACGCTGCCGGGGGGTGCGCGGTGCCCGGACACCTGCGCCCGTAGCGCGCACGGTGCTTGGAGCGCGGGGAGCGCACACGCAGCAGGCCAGCCTCTTCTCGGTGAGCTGCCCAGCACCCCGGTTCCGTGGATGAGCCAGGTGATGCCACCCAGGCACCCCGGGCCAACCCCACGCGCTTTCCACCCCACCCACGAAACTGCCTCTGGGTCTCGCGGGGTGGTTCTAAAGCGGCGGCAGCTTGGACGCTCAGCGCTTGAGTTACATACAAGTTTTACGGCGTTGCTAAGCTCAGCTGCAGGAATGAGACGGGAGGGAGGCTTCCTCCGGTGGATCTTTAGGGGGAGGCGGTAGATACCGTGACAGTCGTCTGAGCAAGTCCTCCTCGGGTTATGTAAAGGGGGACAGTGATTTTCAGACCTCTGGTGCACTCGGGAAGCTTGTTAATAAGTCCTGATGTCCGAGCCCCACCGCAGACCTGTTAAGTCACAGTTTCTCGGTTGTTAGAATAGGAAGTTTCCTTCCACCATCAGACCTCTGCTGGCAGTGGCGTTAATGGAAAACGCAAGTCACTGGAAGCCTTTTTGTCTACAACTTAGGTGGACGAAGCATGTCTATGTAGGAATTCTCAGTTCTCTGTACCTGGCATACAACAACCATAACCCAGCTTCAGTATTTTCTGCTTGCTGATAAGAGTTTGTGTCTCTTGTAACTCAAGAGACTCACTATGTAGCCAAGAATGACCTTGAACTCCTGATCCTCCTGCCTTTTTGCCTCCTAAGTGCTGGGATTATACAGGCATGCACCACCATGCCCAGTTTTATGCAGTGCTGGGGCTCAAACCCCATGCATGCTAGGCAAGTACTCTATTGACTGACTGCATCCCTAGCCCCAGATAGTATGTTTCTGATCACAAACTAACGGTGCCCGCCTGGTCAGACCCTTCCCTGGTGTGGCTCAGTTGCCTTACACAGCACTTCTTAGCAAGTTATCTGTTATTTTCTTTGGAGCTGCCATTTAGAGCTCTGTATCTCCGAACTTTGTTAAGCCTCTGTGAAGCACAAAACTTCCACTACCATGGAGGACTAGTTTATAACGTGCAATAGATTTGTTTCTGATGATGGGGCTTTGGTTTTTCTCTTTTTTTTAAATGTGTATGAGTGTATTGCCTGCATGTGTCTAAGTGCCCTGTGTCCTGCAATGCCCGTGGAGGACAGAAGAGGGCGTTGGATCTCCTGAAACTGGAGTTACGGACAGTTGTTAGCCACCAGGCAGGTGCTGGGATTTGAACCCAGGTCCTCTGCAAGAACAGCCAGTGCTCTTAACCGCTGAGCCATTTCTCCAGCCCCTGATTATGTTTTTTAAAATGCCTAAAGTTCAGGGATCCAGAAGAAGCCAGATATGATGTGATAAAAGGGACATGTCTGAGCAAATACAGGTTTTCTTTAGTTTGGTTTTGAGACATGGTCTCACTGTGTAGCCCTGGCTAGCCTGAACTGGCTATATAGACCAGACTAGCCTCAAATTTACTAGGAATGCTCCTGCCTCAGCCTCCCAAGTGGTAGGATTACAGTACGTACCACTGTGCCCAGCTCTAGCAAAAACAGGTTTCAACAGTCAGTTCTTTACTCAGACTTGAGCATGTCAGAGCTCCAGTGTCATCCTTTGCCTAGGGTCGTTGTTCATTTTTCAGATTCTCTCATCTGCTGACAGCACAGTGTACACGCTGGATCCTTTTATGAACCCCAGATGTTGAGCACAGAAAGATGGACTGTTCGGAGGAGATTCTTGCCGAGTCACTGGGGCAGTCTTATTTAGCAGGAATAAGACCTCCTCACAACTGTCCCTAGTGTTCTGTCAGGCAGCTCACTTTCTTGAGACTTGTATCTTGGTAACTATGCCGTCTGCAAGCCCTGGGCATCTGCTGTCTTGGTGGAAAGGAAGTCCCGTTCTCTAATGAAGGGGACCATGCGACAGAACAGCTGTACCTGTTGAGAGGCCCCAGGTTGGTGACTTCACGCCTTTGGCCACTTCCTGCCAAGAGGCTCTTTAGTCAACATTCCTCACCCTTGTCTCCAAGTATTAGAAGGCAAGAGAGAAGAGAGTAGTACAGGATGAGAGAGAGCCGGGAGGGAGGCTCCGTGTGGCTTGGGGAACATGCTGGATCAGTCCAGTGTGCGTGCCCCTTCTGCCCTGCAGCTGCTCTGAGTTGTATTGTGTTTTGTTTTGTTGAGACAGGTCTCACTATATAGCACTTAGCACTGGCTGGCCTGGAACTCACAGAGATCCACCTGCCTCTGCCCCTTGAGTACTGGCATTAAAGGTGCACACCACCCCACCCAGCTAATACCACCTTCTTAAATGTAAATGATCGCCAAGCCCTTCTGAAGGATAGCAAGGAAGAGTGGGGAGTTATAAGCTGGCTTTGGTTTTTTGTGGGTTCTCAAATAGATGTCTATATCCTGTGTCCTAAAAGGCAATTTGGAAATACTGGCCAGCGGTGCCTTTAGCAGGCTCCACAGAGAAAGGGGAGCTGCGATGATTTGGAGAGCTAAAATGATCCAGAGAAAAGAAGAGTGGGAGGAGGTAGGCCTTGCTTGACGCTGGAGATACTTTGTTCCCTGCATTTGGAAGCAGAGAAGGGGGCAGGGGGGCATGTGCAGAACCTACCATCCAGCAGCACTGGGAGCTTTAGACCTGGCTTAGAGGATTTTGTGTTCAGCTCCACCCAGGAGTGTGCTTTTAGTGATTTGCCATGGATTATTTTTTTAAAAGTCTGCAGCAAGTTTCCTGTAGACCATAGTGTGCGCAGACTCCCAATTTTCAGTTTAGAATGAGGGGAGAAAGGGAACTGGTTCTCAGGTGTGTCCTATAGAGAGGAAGGTGCTGGGCAGTTCTGCTGGGCTTCACGGTGGTCCTCTCATCTCTCCCTGTTCGGTCTTTTTCCTCCCTCCTTTATCTTTTTCGTGTTTTTAAAAATATTTTTATTTTTATTTATGTGTGTGCATGTGTATATAGCATATGAGTATGGGTGCTGACAGAGGCCAAAAGAGGGCATTGGAGGCCAGCGGAGCTAGAGTTAGACAGTTGTAAGCCAGGTGGCATGGGTGCTGGTGGGAAATCGGGTCCTCTGCCAGAGCAGAACTCAAGCTTACCTGCTGAGCCATCTCTCCAGCCCCTCCCTGTCCTTTAGTCTATGAATGCTTTCCCCATCCTGTTTTGAGGGAGTTTTGTTTTGTTTTGTGATGCTGAAGGTAGACCTAGCTCCTCAGCCTCACGCATTCTGGGCACGTACTTCTCAGCCAGCTGCATCCTCCATTTTATTTTGTCTGCTCTGCTAGGTGCCTTTTCAAATTCTGTCACAAAATATTTCCGCATTCCACAGTTACATGTAAAATGTAAAGTGCCTTTGGAGAAAGTCAGCATAAAATAACTATCCAACAACTAATGGTGAAGGGAGTAAAAGATCCTAATAGTAGAATGTGGACTTTCCCCATTATCCACACAAGATATGGTCCCACAACTGGTAAGTGTTAAACGTTCTTGCGTGTGCAGAGGCCTGCAGAACAGAGTAGTCTTTCCTACCACGGTTCGTGTTCTTCCGTGTCCCGCCATTTCTCTCCCCAGCCTGCCTTTGCGCTTACTCTCTCAGGATAAGAGGAGAAAGCCCCAAACGGTGTGGGCCGCTGTGATGTGGAGCTGGCCCCCCAGAAGGTGGAAATATGTGTGTTGCCCGGTGGTTGCTGTGGCCAGCTGGGACATGGAGGTAATTAACATGCACTCTGACTGCATTGCTGGCTCAGGTGGTCACGTGAGCACTCAGTATAATACCACAAGTTTGTACTGAACATTTAGTGTGGTCAGAATACTCCCAAATCCAGCAGGAGACACAAATCCCTCACCCTGAAAAAGATTGGGAAATTAAAATTACAGGTTGAAAATCTGACATGTTCCCCCACCAAATCCAAAATTCTTCGAACACCAACAGGAAGCTCAAAGTTTTTCAGGTTTTGGAGCATTTGGGGAGAGGGGATTCATATTAGGAATGCTCAACTGGTAAAGTCTACGCAAATATCTGAAAATCAGAAGAGTTCTGGTCCCAAGCACACTTCTGCCTGTAGAAAAGATGGGGACCTTTAGTTTACCAGGCTAGCAAAGTCTGGACGTCGGGGGTAATGGCATGATCGAAGATATGCTTTAAAAAGACAAATCTGGGGACTGGAGAGATGGCTCAGCAGTTAAGAACACTGGTTGTTCTTGCAGAAGACCGGGGTTCAAATCCCAGTACCCACATGGCAGCTAACACCTAGCTGTAACTCCAGTCCCAGGGGATCCGACAGCCTCTTCTGACCTCCGCGGGTATTGCACAACACAGGTGCACTTACCTACATGCAGGCAATACATGCATACACATTAAAAAAAAAAAAAAGACAAGTCTGGCAAGGTATGCACAAGAAAGAAATTTATTAAGTGGCTAGCTACACTGCAAAAGAGAGTCTGCAGGACTTGAACCAGGAGAGCACAGAGAGCTGTGGAACACGAGAGGCTGGAGAGGGGAGTGGGGTCTGCAGAGAAGTAGGCACCTCATGCAGAGCTTGGGAAGGAGGTTGGGGTTGTCAGCACCCCTGAGGATGCAGCATGAGTTTAAAGCCTTCTGGTCAGCAGTTCTATGGAGCATTTAACAGCTTAGGAGCCATTGAAGGGGCCGTCTCCTGGATATAAACTGGTTAAGCGAAATTCAACCACAGATATGTGAATGAAGGATTTGGGGGTCACCTCACCTCTTCAGACACACTCATTTTTCTGTCACTGATAATACCAAATGGAAAAGGATTGTTAGTTCAAAGTTCCACTTTTAAATATTTTATTATTTTTATTATTTTAACTTTTTATGTGTATGTGTGTACTGCCTGCATGTATGTAAGTGCACCTGTGTCATGCAATGCCTAAGGATGTCAGAAGAGGGCATTGGATCCCCTGACCCCCTGGAACTG